GATCAAAAATAAAATTTAATTCTACAGTTTATTTAATTAATTTAACTGCACTTTAATAAAAATGTACGAGATTGTTCATATAATGGATTTCATATGAAGCAAATGTACCAATCTTTCAAAACTTGATACATATTTATTATTATTTTTAAAAATCTAATCAAAATTATTTCGAAATCTGATTACTGATCATTAATTATTTTTTTCACGTGATCACTCACGATTAATAATCAATAATCAAATTTAAAAATAATCACGATTATATTTTAAAAGATAAGTAATCAGTGCTCAGGTTTTGAAAGACGTTCATTACAAGATTTCCTGATATGATTATTATAATTATTATGGCAACGCCTTTTCTTAGGAAGCAATTTTATAGTTGAATGATTTTATTTGGCAACTTGGAAATTTTCAGATTTAGATATTCAACAATTTTTTAATTTTTTAATTTAGGAATCCCAAAATTTAGAAATTTTCTAATTTAGAAATTCCACAGTTTAGAAATTTTTATGTTAAAAAATTCTGAAGTATAGAAGTTATTAAATTAAAAGATTTCACAATTTATAAATTTTTAATTTAAAAAATTCCGAAATGTTTAAATTTAGAAAATTCCAAACCCCAAAATATCAGAGTTTCTAAGTTTTCAAATTTAGAAATTGCAAAATTAAAAAATTTCTCATTTTTAATTCTTAATTAAAAAATCCACAAGTGTCGATATTGTGAACTTTTCAAATTGTAAAGTTTACATACTTATTACAAATGTTGCAATGTTGTCAAAATTAATGATACCTTTAATTCATATAAATTGCCCCAAACGTTCAAACAATTGCAGAATGGTCCACAGAAAATTAAGAATCATATTACAATAACCAAATAACTCAAATACGAAAAGTTCAAGAAAATTAAAAATAGCACCAATGTGTTAAATATTTGTGAATTGACTTGAAGGAAATTAGAAAAAATAACATTGATATCACTAAAATCAGTGATAAGCAGATCATGTGCTTTTGGCTATCAATACCCAAGATCAAAACACGTTAATTAATTATAAAATTAATAAGTAAAAAGTTTAAATATAAAATCTAGAATCTTTTAGAAAATATAAAATCGTATTCTGAATAAATACAATTAAGTAATTTAAGTAAAGCAATTTAAGAAATTAATAGATTCAATTGAAAAATTGAATACTGAAAAATAAATACATACATTGAATTCTAATTAAAATTGTATTACAAATATAATCAGACACATTTATCTCACGTTGAAGAAAATTAAAAAAAATTGAAGTGTTTTTAATAAAAAAAATTGTTCAGTTCTGAAAAACGTTTAAACTTGAAATGAAATAATTTTGCTTTTGTTAATGATAAAAGAAAATGTTAAATTAGAATCGGGAAAGGAGCCACAGACCGAGGTTTGCAACAGGCTGTCAGTACAACAATCTTAATAACATGATATGCAACATTTATATCCTAATCTTAGATTGAGTAAAAACTATGCGCTGGGCACGAAGCTCTCTCTGTTTCACGCGTTCAATAAAAGGAATAGAAAAACCCTCGGAAAAATTGTAGTAACAATAAGAAAAAGAAAAATTATCCACGTACGAGACGAAAAAATTGGAATTAGTGTGTTTTCCCATCTCTGTCGTGGTTAATGCGTCTGGTTTTCATTATTTCTTTCTTTCTTTCTTTCTTTTCTTTTTTTCTATTTTTTTTCTTTTGTTAATTTGATTCATCGCAGTCGTTGCGACTCCGGCACTATTGTAAAACGGTATGTAAATATACTTATTATAATAATATATAGCTGCATCTATGATTTGATTGTAAATCGTGAGGTAAGGAGCCTGTGTGAACGGTGCGATAAATTCGAGAAATATTTCGATCTATTTTCGACTCAGAAGCTACCAAAAAATTTCCAATAATTTTATAATTGTTCGACAACTTTATACAGTTCGACAAAATAATACCCTTCTCCGATAATGCAAAAAATATAACCTTCCTCAAGCGAAGGTTGAAAATATGACCTTCCTCAACGGAAACTAACTTACTAAATTCTTTAATTACTTAAATTTTAACAATCAGAAAAAGTCATCTACATATAATAAAAAAAATAAAAATTCTGCAATTAAATTTAATTTAAATAATTTATCGAGTGATCCTCGATAATACGACTAAAATTATAATTGTCTGAACGATTATCAAATTATTGGAAATTCGAAGCTCTGATGCAAAGTACATGGCGAAAAATTTGTCGAAAACATCGCGCTCACGGAACTATTGTCATCTGTAAAATATAATATAAAAGATCCTGAGTTGTACTGTGTGGTACTATGGCTATGGAGTTCGGCGATGTCTAAGATGGCTTTATCTCTTAGTTATTTCTTAAACAAATATATACGTACGTGTGCGTGCGCGAATGCATAACCTTTCACAAACTTTGTAACGAATAAATGTCAAGCAATCGTTAAGCGAATCTTTAAAGAACATTTGATACCCTTCAATCATAAAATAATAACAATTTTAAAATACTGGTTAATAAAATTTAATGTGCGTGACTAAAAGTATATCGTCACTTACATTAATCACCTAATCATTGTTAACCAGTATCTCAAAAAGTCAATACATACAAAATAAAAGAAAATTATATTGACAGCAATCATTGAATTATAGATAATTCGATAAATTCATTATAAATAGTTACAAACATTAGGAAATTAATAAAAAAAAGAGAATAATTTAACATATTTTCAAAACGTATAATTAGAAATTGCAATGTACTAACATAATTAACACTGTTAACCAATTAGTTAGTACCTCTTGAAACATTCTATGATTACTTAAATGATTCAGTTTTTGAAAGAACATTACTGATTTCAATATCAATAAAGTAAAACAATTTATAAGCGTATTTTTATTATTGAAAATAATAAAAAAAATTATAATAATAACGAAGTAATAATAACAATAATAATAGTAAAAGAAAACTAAGAAGAAGAAGTCTAATCAATATCAAAACACTTTGCAGCATATGTACATACAATGACACTTGTACAACCCTTTCGCACAAAAATCAACAGCTTCATATTCACTGAACAATTACACAGAGTGGATAAGATTATACACTTCTCAACCTTTTTTCAGAACTCATTTACAGATGATCTACAAGAATCCTACAAAAGAAACATAAATATATTACAAAACAAAGGTATAGAATATACACATTGTTTACTATTAGCTAAACAATGTTTCATTTACCTTAAAGCAGAAAAATGTACAAAAGCTATTTAAGGTTAGCTAATAAACATAAAAAATTACAAGAAAAACACATGAACAATGCAATAACCAAGGAAATGCAACATTTAGACAAAAAAAAAAAAAAAATAGAAGGCAATGCACATTATGTTTGTAACAAATACAAACTTCCAACCACAACCAATCATTTTACAAATATACACTACAGCCAATCATATTAAACAAACACTAATTGGAAAAAAAATTCAAGTGTGTAACCTCCTCCATTTAAAAATCAATTAAGAGATAAATGAAATTATATGCAGTCCACAGATGTAAGAAACGCAAATTAAATTGCAATAAAATCATTCATACTGTCAGACGTTAGCCATAAACATTTGCACAAATTTACAATTACTCAACATACGTTCACTCACATGTACAAAAGGCAGTCACACTAAACGCAACAAGTCACACAAATATGAACTTAGTGTAGTTCATTCATGTTAATTTAAACAAAAACGAAATACTCATGCAAAATTCCATAATAATAATAATACTGTTTGCAATAATTTCTGAAAAAAGAAGTCTACTAATACTCTAAAGAACATTTAACTAATATCAAATTTAAAGAATAATAGTGATAACAAAGAAAGTAATGTAATACTTTATAGTAATATAAAAATGCAAAATGATTTGTAGGAATATGAAAATTCACTGAATAAAAGATAAAATTTACCTTACTAAAGACACAAAAGAAAAAAGTGATGAATTTAGCTCTATAATATCACATTAGAGCATGTAAGAAAATTCAGAAGAAAAGCCACCTCAGACACAAGCCTCTTATAATATATTAAATTCAATCTGCTGCATCACGACGGTTTCCCATCGATAACTGTCAATAATAAATTCTCTGTAAATCTGCTTGAGCTGTAAAATCGGTTGGCTGTCTATTGCACCGTTAAACTGCTACGCGGTGAAAAATATATTATAATATGTTTGTACGTCATTCTGGGAGTTTCTGTGCGTGTCACCCAGACGTGTGACGTAATCAATAAAGTAAATATAATCCTCTGTAAGAATATAATATCGTTGTAAATATCTGTAGTCTGTATAACACTGTATAGCATCAAATAAAACAACAAGTTATCCTGGCTCGCGGAATAATCAGTACGAGGTGGGATGGCTGCTCCACTTGCGGCGATTCTGTGGTTTCTTTCTTTTTTTCTATTTCTTTCTTTCTGTTTAAGGATACTCTCCCTTTCCCTTACGACGAATAGGCACGGTACCTTTTGCGAAATGTCCTTTAAAGACTATTGTTTCATTAGTTACTGTAAGATGCTGTGAAGAGATTACTATATTACAGTTGTATGCTGTGAGGAGTTTCAAAGTAATGTTTCAAATATTATTTTATCAAAAGTATGTATGTTGTATGGCATTCATATTATTCTAATGTTATGTTATACTTAGTCTCCAATTTTCATATTTTCAAATTGTTAATAAGCCAAGAGTTTGATTTTTGATAAAAAATTAAATATCATATATGAATATTTGTTAAATAAAAATACTTTTTTCAGTGGTTCATTCTTAAAATAAACCTGACTATGCAAAACAACATTCTACAATTATTTTATAAAATAATATTTGTTACTCATAAGCTATATGTTTTCCCATTTTTAAATTAAAATAAACTTTCTTATCGCATTTTTTTTATAAATAAAAAAATAAGACTATAACCTTATATTTGCATAAAATAAAATTTTAAATTTTGAAAAAATTTGAAGTAATTGTTCGTATAAAATATTAAAAATTTTGAACATTCTCCATCACAGTCAAAATTTCTAATCTCTTCACTGCACGTAAGTTTTTCTTCGAAAGACCACATTCAACTTCATTTGCAGTTTACAACTGCCAGAAACTGGCATTAAGTCTACTCAACCAAAAACTTTCACATATGGGCCGAAGAAACTAAGGCGCGTTAGTGGTATGCAGCATCGAATTGCATCATGCTGCTTTGAAAGTGCTTTGATTCAACATTGGTCTGATTGACCTCGTAAGCACCATCTTGGAATACTCTTGACTTGTTCTCCAGAGTCACTGCTCCCGTGCTCTCTTCTACTGGGACTCTCGGCGCAGAAAAGGATTTGCTATCAGTCTGTTGTGCCTGAATTTGTAGATGCGTTTGAGCTCCACTCTGTTGTTGTGCTTTCGGTTGCTGTTGATAGATTTCTTCCTGACGATGCCTGTCTGCCACGCTGAGTTCGTGGAAGCTGACCAGGTGACGCTTCAGGTAGAGCTTGGTCTTGAATGGCTTGTTACAGAGGGGGCATGTGACACTCTGAGGGTTGTGGATCAGGCGCATGTGCTGACGCAGGTTCGACAAGTTACTGTACATGCGGTTGCAGACAGGACAAGGGCGTGGGTCCAACGAGTGCAGTTTGCGTAGGTCAGCTGCAACACACACACAACTTGCTCTAACCCGGTAGAGGCAGCACGGAGAAGGAAGTTAATCTTTTGTTGTTTTTTTGAATGGATTTATGGGTGGGGTCTCCGATTTGCCAGCCACCACCGGACAGCAACAACCAGCTGAGAAACCCTAGCCGCACGACCATTATACACTCTAACTAATTTAGCAATGGGATCACTTTCAACATTTTCAATAAACTGTTACTTAATTTTAAAACATTTCATCCAATGTTTCACAACTTTTCATTCTAAAATATTAATTTTTCATATAGTCTTTTTAACTGCTCCTTCAATATTGATATTAAATGCATTTATTTGTAAATATATCCTAAAATTTATACTTCTAAATATTATTCAGTTATTTTACATAAATTTATTTATATTGAAAATAAAACTGCTGCATTAAACATGTTTAACAAAAATGTAAAAGTAAAAGTTATACTTTAATTATTTTTTTACATATTCTAAAACTTTCCTATAAAAAAAAATATATTATCTTATTTCAAGATTCAATTACATATAATTTAAATTAATACAAATTTTTTACTGTCATTTACTGATAATTGAAGTTTAGTAATTATATCATAACTTTGCAATAATTAATGCAAATATTTCAAAGATAAAGCAATTTAAGATTTTTGATAACTGTATGACATAATAACACGGAAAAGATAATTACAATTTTTCGATTCAAAATGTTTTTAAATTCATTTTTTATATATTGAATAAATTTCACAAATAATATAGTCTGATCCCACTACTATCTGTCGTGCGCACCATGATATTGCGCGTTACCAACGCACACACATCGGAGACAAATGGTAAGCGTGTGTTATTGGGAACATGAGGCGTGAGAGTTCGCGCTGCATCCTCCGAAATTATTCTACAATTTTCTTGACAACAACACCCTTTCTGATTAATAAAAACTTTCCTTGACATGTACAATTTCATTTACATTGAATATTTTACAACCTACGTATATTATTATCACTGTTAAAGTCATAATAATGAATAACCACAAAGAGACCATTTCTTTAAACTTTAAATTGATAATAAATAATTAATAAACGAAACTTAATTCTTTAAATTTATGATTCATATCGAACTTAAATTATAAAACTACGATTAAAATTAAAAAGTAATCAAAATATAATACTATAATTATGTTATAAAAATAGTAATTTTTAAAATCAAGGACTCAAATTAGAGTTTTGAAAAACAATTTAAATCTCTAGATTTAGAATTTGACAGTATGGCACATTTGATGATTTAATGCAGTAGAATATGATTAGTGAAGCGAAGGATATTAACTTTTTTTTAATTACAACACCATAATTAAACACTAACCTTAACCAAAAAGCTTACAACAAAATTTAGCATCAAGCAATTGCTCTGCTATATATGTCAAGTTAGGGTGTTTTGCCATAGGATAAACATGAATACACAGAAAAAAACAACGCCAATTAGATAAAATATAAATTTTTTAATTATTATGACTAAAAAAAAATATTCATATTAAAATAAATAATAATATGAACGAAATTTAGGTTAGCTTTAAGCAAAAATGTTTGTTTCAATATATTTCAAAAAATAAAGAAATAAACTAAAATTGTTCAGTAGCCTCCAATTGGCGTGGCTTCTACGGGACAAAAACGGAGAACGTGGAAGCAACAGGCAGGCAATTTTGCCAGACGGAGGGATTTATTATTTTTTCACATTTAAACTATTTATTTCTTACCTTCTAAATCTATTTATTCTTAAAATTTGTTATATATTATGTTCAAGTATCTAATGAACTTGTCAAAATTTTTAATCAATGAACATTTGACAAGAAAAATAGGTCAATTTATGAAGTTAACGTAACGTAAGAAGTATGTAATATTTTTTCTTTATAACTATTACTCGACACAAATATTTTTACATACATGTAATTATCGATAAAAAAATCAATTTTAACCTTGCAGTATCACCTCCAACTCTGGCAAACAAAATGGACAGGTAGAGAGCCCGAGTATGCACACGCAGCTGACTTTCTCACACAACAGCCGCAAACTGCACTCCGCCTGGATGAAATTATCAGATCGCCTCCGAGTGTCAAATGTCTCTTCTTTTTCTTTCTTTCTCTTCCTCTCTCTCCTGCCTTTTTTCATATTTGCACACACATACGCGCATTCTCTCTATTTCTTTCTTTCCCTTTCTCTCCTACCGCCTAGCAAGAGCTACCGAGCTACACGAGCTTACCATTTCAAACCGAAGTTCCCCTTCTCCTTCCGTCTTTATATTCGCATCCAAAAAATTCTCTCCGACATGATCGGCTAGGTTGTTGCTGTTTGTAATGGTGCTCGCAACTACCAAAGAATTAGGATTGGGACGGATAATCACTTACCTTGTTGCTCTTGATTTAATTCCGTACTGCCGGCATGAGATGGTCCTGGCATTCCACCCTCTAATGGTCCACTACCCCCGCCACCGCCGCCTCCTCCACCGCCGCCTGCTCCTCCTCCTAGAAAAATATTTACATTGTGAAATTTTATGTAAACCAATTTGTTAACATTATTTTAAATATACTGAAAAATACATAAAACATTATTTTTAATTACCCTGGTAAGAAGGAGGATACGATGGTAAAACTTCCATGCCACCATCAAGGCTAAGAAAACCACTTGGCAGTGCATTAACCTCCTGCTTTGGAGAACAATCATCATCGCTTCCATATTCTGGTAATTCTATTTTTGGCTAAAATATAAAAATTGTGTGATAATTTCACTTATGAAACATATACAGATTTTAAAGCCACAGTGTATTAAGTCTTCTGTTTTAAAAAATAATCAATCTTTTGATATCTAGTTCTAATGCAGTTTACATAAAAGGTTCTTAATACTTTTTGGTTTTAATACATTTATTATATTTTAAGTTCTATAATGCTTTTTGACACTGCAATTATAAAGCATATATATATATATGCTTTATATGTATGTAATATGTAATATATATCTAAAATAAATGGAATTTTATAAAAGGCTAAGAAGAGCTGATTGTTTAAGTTTAGTTTCATACTTTGTAAGGTCATTTGATATATTATGTAACATTATTATGTACACACATAATATGGATATTATACAAGATAATATGAAATATAAGACTAGGCTAAAGTAATCACTTTTATTTGTATTAGAATGAAATTATTGATATGACACTACAATTAGTGAATAGATTAACACGTTGATTTAATTCCGTACTGCCGGCATGAGATGGTCCTGGCATTCCACCCTCTAATGGTCCACTACCCCCGCCACCGCCGCCTCCTCCACCGCCGCCTGCTCCTCCTCCTAGAAAAATATTTACATTGTGAAATTTTATGTAAACCAATTTGTTAACATTATTTTAAATATACTGAAAAATACATAAAACATTATTTTTAATTACCCTGGTAAGAAGGAGGATACGATGGTAAAACTTCCATGCCACCATCAAGGCTAAGAAAACCACTTGGCAGTGCATTAACCTCCTGCTTTGGAGAACAATCATCATCGCTTCCATATTCTGGTAATTCTATTTTTGGCTAAAATATAAAAATTGTGTGATAATTTCACTTATGAAACATATACAGATTTTAAAGCCACAGTGTATTAAGTCTTCTGTTTTAAAAAATAATCAATCTTTTGATATCTAGTTCTAATGCAGTTTACATAAAAGGTTCTTAATACTTTTTGGTTTTAATACATTTATTATATTTTAAGTTCTATAATGCTTTTTGACACTGCAATTATAAAGCATATATATATATATGCTTTATATGTATGTAATATGTAATATATATCTAAAATAAATGGAATTTTATAAAAGGCTAAGAAGAGCTGATTGTTTAAGTTTAGTTTCATACTTTGTAAGGTCATTTGATATATTATGTAACATTATTATGTACACACATAATATGGATATTATACAAGATAATATGAAATATAAGACTAGGCTAAAGTAATCACTTTTATTTGTATTAGAATGAAATTATTGATATGACACTACAATTAGTGAATAGATTAACACGTTGACTGCCACGTCACCCATATATGGGTGACACTTGAGTATCTATACCGATTTATCATGTATATTGTTAACAATTTATTCACTTTGATAACCGCAAATTCTCGCATTAATTACATGGATCTATGGAAAATAAATGTAACAAGATATTGTACAAATATTTAAAAAAATTGGTTAAGAATTAAAACACTACTGGATGCAATTGAATATTACTTTAGTGTGGCAGTCAACATGTTAAGATGATTTTTGATTTAATAACTGCTTCAAAAAATATATCAAGATCATATAACATATATCCAGCTTTATGATATTAAGCTATACAAGAAAAGATATAAAACTGAAACTAGATAGTATAAAGTTAAAACATATTGACAGTTAGATAATAGTTTCAAAATTATGAAACTTTTGCACCTTTTATTTGTTTCTCTTTACAATTTGAAGAACGTGACTTAATATACTCTGATTTTAAGGACCTGATATATTTATTTATTGCAATTGAGAAAAATTATGACAAACTTCTACAACCAAAATCCTGTCCTCTATGAAATAACATGCACATACTAAAAAATATTTTTTAAAATTATGTGCAGTGCAAGCACAATTTAGTGAACTAACCTCAACAATATCGAGATCTTTATAACAGTCAAGTTGAACCTGTGGCTCAATTAATGGCCGTGTGCGTGGCGTTCCAGTTGCACAGGCCGCCGCAGCTGGTACTGGACTAGATATCTGAGGCGAATCACTTCGTTTGCACAGCCTTTTTAATGGTGGAGGACTGGAGGCTGGTGGAGTTTTACTACGGTCCTCCTCCAAATTTGGTGAGATCAGCCCACGGCCGTTTGATGCGTGTATGTTGTTTGTTTTCAAATGCTAAAATCAACAAACAATATTAACAAATTATTAACATATATTTTGTCCTAATAGTAGTACATTTATCTATCATGTATATTACACCATGTTATGCAAACACTGGAAAAAGTAACACTAAAAAGATATATTACTTACACATTTCAAATACAAACCTTTTCGCTGTTGTGCTGATTACTTTGAGAGTCGGTGAGGCCACGGATTTGCAGAGACTCAGCAGTTCGTAGAAATGTAGGTAATTCTGCTTGAGATATGTTAACCTCCCCAGCATACATAAATTCCAAGAGTGACTGTAGATGTTCGAATTCCACATCACGCATAAATATTATCGGATGCTTGCATGGATTTGTCTGTAAATATAAATTTATATTATGTCTTATATCTCTTTCTTATAATTTATATAAATAATATATCAAACAACAATTTTAAAAAATAGTTAATAATATATTAGCGCATTATTACTGTTAAATTCATTACAAATTATAAAATAAATGTATAATCATAATATAGCCAAAAATAAATATTAATATATAACAAATTATGTGATTAATTTATCTTTTAATTTATTTCTAAAAATATAAAATGAAGATCTGTTATATAATTTGCAGCAATAAACACTGCAAAAAATTATATTTATTAATTTATACAAGCACATAGAATATGAAATACATTCTACATATAATCAACATCATATTTAAAATGTAAAATAAATACATTCAATGTTAGCAGTTTGTTACTTATAATATTCTAAGACTCTAATGCATAATTCTTTAAATAAAGGAATATCATTACAACACCATCTAGTGCAGACACTTATATCTAAAATAATGAATGCGCTGTTCACAGATATTATACATGCAGCAACTTGCTTTAGCTAAATCAATTTAACATATAATGCACATACCAAATGACCCACACTAAGTGTACAAACTTGATCTAAACGCAAAAGTGTCTCTCTAAATATACTTCGAAACTTGCTTTGCACCAAATATTAAATCCATATTTTATATTTCTTTAATATGAAAGTTCTTTTACTTCACAGAGGAGAAACAAGTAGACAATACATGTCACATTAATAATTTTGAGATTATATATTGATACTATTGATTCAAATTTTCTAATTTTATGACATATTTAATAGACCAATGATATTGATTTGATCATATGAATTATAATATGAGATATATACAGTACTACTCTGATTAATGCTGAAAATATGTCCTTAGAAGATGAAGTATTAAATGAAACATTATTAAATGTTGTTATCTCAACTATAAATAAAGAACTTTAAGTTACTCAGTTAAGTTAAATTAGAAATATATAAAACATATACATACAAAGAAAAAATTTTCTTGGAAGAGGACCTTGTTTGATTAAATTAGTGTTAATTAATGTAGTTTTAAACAGGATCATATTATACACATATAATCTTAGAGTGTTATATTATTCGTTTCTTGCAAAATTGGTGAACCTCAAAAATCATGATGCCAGGAAAACTGAATTTAAATGTTTGAAAGCATTATTACTTTGTATAGACATTATGCAAAAATAAATGCTCCCACAAATTCATTTTTTAACGCTAAATTTCATTCAAACTGATATGAAATGTCATTTCTCTAATTATGGTTTTTCTTTCAGAGTTTATAAAAATAAGAGTACAATAATTAAAGCAACTTTTATATAAGTCTTTACACTTTTCTTAATGCCAATTTGTTTAATGAAATATCTCCTCTATTACATTTCGTAACTCAACAGTTAACAATTCTCATGTTTATACAAGTTTTTAGAATGATAAATTAATTTTCTAGTAATATTTATTATATTATTATCAAGTTTATATTTCTCAAAAAGCACAACTTAAAAACCTCAGTTATTTGTACCTTTGAAAATTAATTTTAGATACTTAGTAACGATTATTAATTAAGTACTACTATACATGTATCTTAAGAAACTCTTTTACTAATATGATTTATAACAATTAATTATCAAATAGCATTTACTGTTTAAAGCTATTCTATAAAACTCAAAGTTCAGAAAATAACATTTCGTATGCATCAACCTAATATAAATATGTATTCAAACGTAAGTTACATAAAACTGAAAAAATGCTTAAAAAACTATATAAAATTAAAAATCAAAGTGGAAGATCAAAGTCATATAGTTATTAATAAGGTTTAATACATGTAAAGTTATAAGATGATATATCAAAAAAGCAAAACGTAACTTGTCGTTTCTTGTACTTCCATAAGATTTCTATGCTTTTCACTATATTCTATAGATTTCTTTGATCTCATAATTGATTCAAAGGAAAGAGGAATTGCATAAACATTGCTAATACATCTATATAATCAGAGAGTGCTCATCGCTGAAAAATTTTTATGTTACATGGATTCTTACTATATTTGCCACACTAACAGAATTTATATTCAAATAACTAAACATGATTTTATATATAATCAAACTTATACAAAATTACGGGAATTCCAAGTCAGTCGAAATAAGCACTAGTTTCTAATAAACAAACAACATATAATAGGAAAGGATTCTTATGTAAAGCATGTACAAGAACATTACAATACATTGTCACGACATATACATGAGGCTTTCAAATAAGAATTCTAAATCAACTGCATCTAAATCAAAGCATGATTCTCAAAGAAGGTAAAAATGATCGGTTAAGGGGAAGGAAGGGGAGAGGGGGTAGAGATCGAGCAACTAGCACCGAGGAGAGAAGACGGGGAAGGTTTTCTAACCTTGAACAACTCCTTGAAGTAAGGGCTGCACGCGGAGAGGACAACCTTGTGCGCCTGGAGACGCCTACCATCGCAGGCAAAGGTGACATCGACGAAATCCTCGTCATCTCTGAGAGCCTCGAATTGGCTGGTGATATTAGCTTGAAAGTTGTTCCAACGCAAGCAAAACTGCTGCTGGCTATCCGTCATTCTCCTCGCTCGACTCCCTTCAACCTCCTCTCTCTCCCTCTCACTTAACCCGAGAGCCCCCCACCACCACCCACCCTCTGTCCGTCTCTTTCTTACTGTCACCTTCTTCTGCTTCTATCTTTTTTCCTCTTTTTCTTTCTTACTGATGGCAGCGTTGTTCTTTCCTCGTCGCGCACTTTGACTTCGAACGTATCGTTCTCTATCTTTCTTTCTTTCTTGCAGGAGACACTTTAAAAATTTTCGAAAGATATCGAATATGGAAGATTCATCGAGACGAAGAGGGTGAGGGTGGTTTCGCAGGTGAGGGTGGCCTGTTTTAGTGCACTCTCGTGCTACTGATTCCAGATGAGGCTCTCATTACTCTGGAAAAAAAATGGTAGGTGCAAAAAGTGCAATCGATGACTGAAGAGGAGGTGTGTACGTGGGGAGAATCGATAGACGGCTTACCAACGTTTAAAAGATAAATAAAGTAAGCCGTGCTTTTTGCTAGTTTTTCAAAAGCTTTATACTGGATTTATATTATATCGATAAAACGAATATAAGCAAAATTATTAATAAGTATATTTTAATGTAAAATATTTAAATGAGATAACAATGTTTTCCATAAAAATGTTTAAATTCATTAAGTTACCAGGATACCTACCTAGAGGTTTTTTTTTCATTTCTTTTTATGTTTTCCTGTTTTTTATAAAATGACATTAGTAAAGTGTTTTTTGGTAATGATAATATAATTTTATTTAAATTTTTCATATTTGTATAAAACAATACGTTAAAGTATTAATATAAAAAGATAATTAAAATAAAGAGATAGATATATTTACGATTATAAGTGAAATTCAAAATTATGAATGAAATATTAAATTTTTATCTAGTACCTTTTATGTTAAATCGAACATTTCAAAATAAAAATTTCTTAGAATCAACGATGATTGTTTGTCAATGTTATTAATTAAATTTTATTTTTTAAATTTGTATTATAATTACCCTACAAATTATATTATATAGATTTTATTGAAATTGACAAATTTGTAGAACCTAATGTTATTACCAAATATGTATAGTTAAATAATTAAAAAAAAAACTATAAAAACAAAATATTAATATTTATTTCCTCCTCCACTTTTACAAATGAAATCATTACTTTTTTATAAATATTCCATAGCTATTCTAGTACATTTTATATTTTAAAATATTTTGAAGATGAATTAAAAAAATATTCAATTTTTTGTTATAATTATTTACATATTTTTTTTAAATATACCATTAAAAGTTTTGATTTAATTAAAATCCAAATTTTAATTTTAATTTAAATTACACTATAATTATTATATTTTAAATCATTCTTATATTGAAAAAAAAATACATTTATAAATAATTACACCAGCATAATAACAGGATTCTCTAAATATAATTTTTAAATAAAATAAAAATTATTTTTATCCCGTCATTAATAAAATTAATAATGTTAAGGTTGCGAAAATAAGTGGAAGAAGAAGTAATATAGATAAACATTAAGATATATTAATATCAAATTATGTTATCGATGTTGATACGAAAAATTAAAACCAATTAAAACTGATAAACAGAGCCACCGCTAGGATCCGTAGAACCCGGGACAAAAGTTATTATTGAGAAGATATAAGTCCTCATGTATGATAGACTTTTAACATTATTGGTCACAAGTCTTAATAAAATTTAATTCAAAATCAATTCAACAATGTCCTACTTTTGACTAATACAACTTAACATTTAAATTCCACGTATTAATTTTTCCACTGCTAAAAATATCACAATATTGAATTTTAAATTCAACTTCTATTGACATTTGACTATTTGAATACAAATTTTTTATTTAAATAATTCCCATGCTGAAAATTCAAATACTCAGATATTCGAATTTCAAATCTGAATTTCACTCGTATTCATATATTCGAATACCAATATTTGAATATTGGTTGTTTAAAAATTATAATTCTTTTAATACTAATTTTGAAAATAAAGTTAATTTAGACACAATTAGTGTAATTTTTAGTTATTAAATATTAATTAATTTAATATTCCACTAAACTATATTAATGATAAGATAAATATTCAATAAAATTATCTCGAGTAAGAGTTTTTACACAAATGCAGTTTTCCTTCCCTATAACCTTATTTCCCCTAGGGAAACCCATCAGGCCCTACAGATAATAAAACGTAAATAAACAATATATTTTCATGTACTTGCTAAATAACTTTGCTGCGTAATTTATATCATTATCATTCGTATTATCGTTCAAAAGATATCGATTGCAAAGGAAACATGCATTCTCGTGAATGAAAATTCGCGGAAAATTTGTCCGTGATCGCAGACAGTGTTTCGATAACTTGTGCTATTCTAAATTCAAGCAAGTTTTACTACCCGGTATATGCTCGTCCTCGTAGCTTCGGACAGCTTCAGGCCGTCATGAACGGCCGAAAATTTTCTTTGCAAAATAGTTCTTTATAGAAATTTTCCGCTTGCCTTATCGGGACAGATGTGAAGAGGATTTTATTTAAAAAAACGCATGATAAATCCAGGAAACTAACAATTATGTGACGCAAGCAGAAAATGTCAGAAAGACAGGTGAGGCTTCTGTTTTTCTTTATATTTCTTAAATTTTTCAATGAGTTTCTCTGTTTTTTCTTTGGTATTTCTTCAATGAAAGTTTGTCAGAAATCAACAAAAATAATGAAAAATAAAATTCAATGAAACAACTATGATCATTGTTTTTAACCTCGTTGTGAAAGGTTACTGCGGACAACTCAATCGATACATTGTACTCGAATTTCAATTTCCTAAGGAACAATGAATATAACAAATTGTTTCGTGATTGAGAGATTTGATAGTGGTTCTTTAAAATTTGTTAAAATATTGTGATGTTCCAATTATTTTATTTAAAATTGTATGTTAAAGATCGAACGATAATTGTAACCTTCATTAGGTTATCCTTCCTTCCAAATACGTTTTTTAGATTGATTAAAAATTATGCAAGTATAATTTATATCGTTTACTTATATTACTTGCTTCCAGATTTTTATTTAAAAAAGTAAGTAAATTCTTGTAAAATAACATTTTGTATTGTTTGAATGCAAACTGTTTAAATTTAACTTGTTGGTTGCTTAGTTTTCAAGTTATATTTTTAAATGTATTAATCACCACCAAAAAAAGTAATTGGAATAATAGTCCTTTGTTTTTTTTCATAGTAGTATGACTAAAATGTAAAATTGAGTGGAGTAATGATTTTGAATTATTTTATTTATTTTAAGAATAAAGCATAAAACTCATTTAAAAAATTTATGTAAATTGTTTAGACAATATTTATTTATTATTTTATTACACACCATGCATGTTATTTAATTACCTTAGTTCCTCGACTTAAATTTTAATGATTAAAACTAAAAATACTTGAAATTTTATACATAAAAATGTTATGAATGTGTAATCACATAGATTTAAAGATAATATTTCAAATATTCAGATATAGACCTATCAAGTTTTTTAAATATAAATTATATCTGAATGTCTATTTTTTAACAGTATCTTATTTTGTGTATTGTAGTATATATGCAATTATTAATGGTTTATAAAGCAATTTTTTGCATAATGTTTAATAGTTCAAAATTTGCAACAAAAATACTGACTGTTGAAATAAAAATATTTGTAAAATAATCATATAATTTCATTGATGTTACAGAATTTGTATATTATCTTCTTTTGGTGATCATCGTGGTTTCCCTAGTGGAAACCAAAAATCATATACTACGCCACGGTAAGTGTTTGGAACAACATTTAGTTATAAATTGATAAGTAAATTTGTACAATAAATTGACTGATAAACTAAACTAATAACATGTATTTTTGATACAAAGAGGTTTAAACGATTCATTTCGTTTCATCACCGCAGCATTGCAAAATGTCAGATAACTAAAAAGGTTGATGTCATTTTAATCGGTAGGGATACATAGTTTTAATGTATAAAGTGGACTAAATAATAGCATATAATTTATTTAGCACTTGTTTAATATCTGTTTATATTTTTTTACCATTATTTTGTTTTTGAATGTGTACATGTATAATTTAATGCTACATGGTTTATAAACTATTTTTGGTTATCTGATATATTAAAGTATACATCACTCATGTTACAATTATTTATAAAAATTTAAGACAGTAATGTAGCAAAGTTAATAAAAATAAACTTTTGATCAAAATGACAAATTATTAGATAGAAATTATAACTAACCCTTATTAATAGTTGTCATTTTTCCTTACCGTTTATCATATAAGGAAGAAGTTGTATTAAACATATAGTAAGCGAACAATTAGAAAGAACACTAAACACTGAAAGATTGGTAGAATTGTTGCATCATATCATACAACTGTTACTTTTACTGAATATAGATGATTAATGGTATAGTCCCTTAAAGAAAAGCAAAAGAATGTAATAGATTAGCCAATGATAATGATGATTAGCTCATAAATTTATCTTATTTCTCATTGTTCTTTCATGCTATACATCAATACGCATTTTAAATATTTTTTAATTAAAAAATTGTGTTGCAAACAGTTGGCAACCATTTCATTGTCATTTTAAATTTATTTTCAATCTTTTTATTCATATTCAAAAATTATAATCCTTATTCTTTATACGTGTGGTAATTCTTACCCATAATTTCGTTTAATTGTTATCATCCTATATAATATAAATGTTATTCTATAATAACATATTTTAAGTTTCAATTATTGTTTTACATAAATTTACTGAAATTTCACATTTGTATATGGATATAATCATTCTTGTACCGTTATTTTATTATTTGTAATGGTGCTAATTTAAGTAAATTTACATTAACAAGTGATAATTTTCGCCGCGAGAGGTGTTAAAAAATTTACCTATTTCTGAACATGACTGTACAGTTTATCAGTTTATATGAAATGATAAGAGGAACGGGAAGAAGTAGTCTGATTCAAACAGATCGCGGTGTTCAGAAGTTCGAACTTGACGGGTCTACTCAAAACTTTTACGACATCTGTGTTCCCTTTATTTTATGACGTTTCTTTCAAGCACCATAAGAAGTGAAAGTTAAGCAGTTCTTGATAATCCATAAGCTTCACAGTTTCTTTCCGACCACCGTGCCGAAAAGAAAGGATCATCGAGATCGTTTAACGATTTTAAGAACATACAAATTTTATTTAAAAATAATATT